AGCCACAGAGTAGATAATTTTCACATTTATTAACCTCCAAGTTCTTTTCTAAATCAAACTCTGTCAAACACATCACATAAAGTCATTTATATTTGAGACAAGTTTCAATGTTTCAGGAAGGCTGGCTTCCAAAATTTCAAAGATCCCACTCACAGATGTCAAAACAGCTTCTCCAGATTCTCACAAAGAACTTCAATTCAACTTTGCAGAGATGAGAGGTTTTGCAAAAAACATCTGCCAAGTTCATTTGGCTCAGCCTCTGGAGGCTTGATCTGTTCTAATCACAACTGCCAGAAGGGTAAAATTTTCTTCCACAGAAAGAATGAGACAACCAAGATAAGCCAGTAAGTATAAAAAATCGAATTTCTCACACATTGAACCATAAGAGGCACATTACATTACTCTATACAACAAAAAATGTTTTACATAGCAAGAAGAGTTTTGTTACTGATCGAATCAAACCTTGTTCACCAAGACAAAGATGGATTCAATAAGAATTTCGATACTCCACGGAAAAAAACAACAGACTTGGCTTGTTACTTAGAGAAATATGATCCAGAAGGGATATTGGAAAGATTCAGGCTAATCAGATAGAGGAAAACAGCACCGAGAAAGACCTATACAACAATGCAGAAACACTGTTACAAACAGATGGAAAGGGTACACCAATATCAGAAGTAGTTTGTATGAGAAAGAAAACTACCTATTTTGTTGTGGTTATGATACAGATATCCCCCAATCTTCCTGCTTGTGACTGACTATAAGGAAACAATAGAAGCGCCAAACCTCCAGCATTTTCAAAGCTAACCAATACTCTATAAAGTTCCCACGTTCTGGAAAACACCATAAAAACAAAGACAAATGTAACACGGGACATGCAGTCTTTACATCTCTCTCATTTCTGCTCCTGACATGTAATCACTTCTCAGCCTCGGCGCTTTTGCTGCTGCTTCCCCCCCCACCCCGCCCCCCATTTTGATTACAGACAGCCATCTCCCCTGCTCCAACTTATTACTGAATTTATCACAAGGTTTTGGGACGCTAACAGAGTGCTCCAAGCGCAGCGCTCCAAGAAGCGCTCTGTCACGTCCCTCCCCATCCGCGTTTAGGCGTTCACCTGTACCAAAGCGCCTCGCCCGGCGCGGGCAGCAGCGCACGCCTCAGCCTCGCGCCGCCGGCGTGCGGCACCGGGGCGGAACGGCCGGACAAGCGCTGCCCGCGCACACGAGCCGCGCCCGCCCTGGGCGTGCCCGAGCACCGCCGGGCAGCCCGCGGGGCTCTGCCCGCGCCGCCCGCCCACTGCGGCACCGCTCCTCCGGGAGCGCCCCGCGCCGCAGCCCCCGCGCTGCCCGCCGCGTCCGGCCGGGCCGAGATGGGAAGGAAGGGAAGGAAGGAAAGGCGGGAAAGGCAGAAGGGAGCGGCCACCTCACCTGCCCGGGTGGCCCCGCAGCCCCCCGGGAGGCGGCGCGCCGCCGCTGCCCCGCCCCCTCCTCTCCCTCCCGCCACTTCCGGGGGCGCCACAAAAGTCCCGGCGAGCCGCCGGGGCCGCGGCTGTGCTTGGTCTGGCCGGGGAGCGGCGGCCCCGCGCCGGGCCCTGCCCGGTACCTCTGCTGCGGAGCAGGTGCGTGCCCGCGGCACGGCGGGTTCTGCCGGGCGTGCCCCACGGGCCGGGAGCGCGGCCGGGGGCGGCGGCGAGAAGCAAAAAGGTCGCGTTGGCGTCGCCTCGTGCATGCGCGGGGCGCGAGGCCCTGGGGATGGCCGCTCGCCGCCGCCGCTCTGGCGTGCCGTGCGCGGGCGGGCGGTGCACGCCGGGACGTGTAGTGCGGCGGCGGGCGGGGAGGATGCGGAGGTGCCTTCCCGGCGGGAATCGGTGGGATTCTGGATGGGGCCGGCGTGACCGGCTTCGCCTCATAGGCGCCGGCCCCAGCCCTCTGTCGCAATTGCAAAACCAGGGAGGAGTGTAGGCGAGTCTCTCAGTCTGATCTGCGCCTTTTTGGAAGCACCTGGTTAGAAGAGCGGCGTTCTGAAGCTGCGTGCTGGAGACAGCTTGTACGGGAACTGGAGGGGAGTTTCTTATGTGACCATATAGTGACACGACAAGAGAGCAAATTTAGACCAGTTACTAGAAGAAAAATCTTTACGGAGAGGATGGTGAGGCGCTAGAACAGGTTTCCCGGAAAAGCTGTGTCTGCCCCGTTCCTGGAAGTGAACCCAAGTGGGTTTGGGGCTCTGAGGAATCTCATCTAGTGGAAGGTGTTCCTGGAACCGGCAGCAGTTTCGAAGTTGATGAACTTTAAAATCAGTCCCAACCCAAACCATTCTGTGACTGTGATTCAGGGCTCCACAGGCAATTCCTGTTTCTTTCAGGAAGAGCGGTCAGAAGTAGGGGAGTTTGTCAAAAGCTGGACTTAAATAATAGTTTTGCAGTTAGGATTGTGTTTGTTTGTAGGAGAAAATGGGCATTAAAGGATGAAATAGCTTAGTTTTAGCAGGTGTGACTATTTTGGCCAAGCCACTAAAGCTAAAGACCACTAGTTATATGGAAGCTTCATTTTCTTTGCTAAAATATGTTCTCATGTAGACTTTTTGAGCTTCTAAGGTACTAAAAAATGGATAGCTGATGTTATGTCTTTGATTTTTAGATTACCAGATGCATTATGAGTATTGAGAGACATAGCATATGAATTATCTGAATAAATGAGAAAACCAGAAGATTTTATAAATTGTTCTTTTCAGGGCTGTTTTATCTGGCATTTTTAAGAGTAGACCAAACAAAGTAAATTAGGTGGTGGGGGAACAGATTAGTAGGGGCACAATAAATTAAATATCCAGGAAGGAAGCTCATATTGGGCAGCAATCCAGCAGACTTAAGTACTTAACTGTTTGCTGGATCAGGATAATACTAAATCAATGTATGTGGGTGCTACATTGAGCATTCTTTCCTCATTGGTTTACCTAAGCTCTTTAAAATGCTTGTAACAGAAACAGCTATTGCAGAAACGTGGATAGCATGTCTGCTTAGCAGAAGTGTATGCTGTGGTCCTGCTTAGAAGTTTTTGTTGCTGTGCAACTTCATTTTATTAAAATGGGCAGTTTTGGACTCCATGGAAAATATTTGCTGCTTCAGGCAAGTTTCAAAAGTACTGGAAGAATAAAGATTGTTCTGTGAGATCTTTTCTTTCCATCTGTGAAAGTCTGTGTCAAGCCAAAAGAATCCATTATCCCTGTAGTTAAGTGACAGGCCATACTGGGCTGGTTTTGCCTTCAGGTAACTTAAGTGTAGCACTGACCTTGAGGAGGCCCCTGAGTAAAACTTGAATGTGTGCCCCTGGCAGATGGGATATTTTAATTGCCCTTCATCAATGTTCTTTTACTGTCAGAAATACTAGTTAATTGACTTCTTTCAAAAACAGAAACATGAATTTACTTCATGGTAGGCTCACCTCCTTTTCTGCTGTTAGTTATCCAATTTACCAGCTCAGTGGGTTGGTTTAGCATTTGCTGTCAGATATAAATTTACAGGAAACTGCTGTGTCAGAACAGTCCTGTGTTCTGGCTCCTCTCCTTCCCTGTTCTGAAACACCGTCTTTCTTCACAGGCCAGAGCGTGGTGTTGGGAAGTACATCAGTGTTAGTTCTCTCAGGTAGGAAAATTTTACTTTTAAGCACTAATGCTGTATGACAGGAGACTTGGCTTGTTTTGAAAATCAGCTCTGATGTTGTATAAAACGAAGTATTCAATGAGGCAAAAGTCTTGTCACATTTTGAATGGAAAGTTCCTGTCATGCATTTGCCATTGCTAACAGCAATGCTTAGCTCAGTGTGCAGGTTCCAAAAATAACATATAGCATTCTATTTTCTGGGAGGAAAGGATGAAATGAAAGAGGGCATAATCACTCTTAAGAGGTCTTTGCCTCCTTCCTACCACCAGCATAGTAAAGTTAGGTCAGAATCTATAAATTAAAAAATAGGCATCTTGTCCTACACATTTTGTTTTCAAATAGCATCCCTACATAATGAGATGATGTGCACTCCAGAGTGACTGGATACTGTCTCTTCCCCATAATTATAAGTCACTTGGCACATATGGCAGACAAACTAATTACTCTTTTTAGCAGGCTACATAATGTCACAGTCTGGCAATGGAACAGTGCCAGAAATAAATTTACTTAATACTGTGAGTAAGGAATAAATTTTCTTAATGCTGTAGATTACCAGTATTCACTATGGAATTATGACATGGCAGACCCCAAGCTTGATCCTGCTCCTGCAGTCATTGATGAGCGCAGGATTAAACTGCTGCCTCTTCTGTGTTGCTGGAAAAGACTTGGGGAAAAAACCAAACCAGTCAAATGATGTAGAGGCTGCATCAATAATCCTTCCTGTGAATATTTCAATTTTCATTATTACATAATTATTTTGATGCTATTCTTGCTAAACCCAAACAGGTTCTGTATCAGTGGCTCATTTTACTAATGACATTATTGCTTATTAATGTTATCAGGGAAGTCAGCTTGTGTCAAGGAACGAATTGTTACCTTGCATGCAGTCTGGTTTGGAATTTCAAATCTAATTGTGTGATTAATTAGTGAAAAAATAACTTTCCATTTGTTTCTCTCTGGGAAATTGGTTTTTTCCTCTTTGCCTATGTAGCTTTTTCACAGCTAAGGTGGATCTTTGGACAATCTCAAGCACAACCAAATTTGAGAGGTATCCAAGAATGAGAAGAACAATTTCTTTGATACCATTTCCTTCCCTGTCCAATGAGTGTAGTAGAAGCCTCCATTGTATGGAAATTTTAAAATATAGTTTGACAAAATCAACCCTGCTTAGAACAAAATTAGTGTTCCAGGCAGTGCTCCTTGTTGCTAAAGTTGATGGTGGATGTGTATAGTGGGTGGTGTAAGCTCAGGATGCCTCTGAGCTACAAAGAAATCTGTAAAAACTTGGCGATGTTCTTCTCTGACTATTTATCTAATAAATTCTGTCCATTTTGTTCAGATTGGCAATGGTTCGTAGTGGAAAAAGTGGTGGGCTCCACCTGAAGCAGATTGCATACTATAAGCGAACAGGGGAATACCATCCCACAACATTATCAAGTGAAAGAAGTGGAATCAGGAGAGCTGCCAAAAAATTTGTTTTCAAGGGTAAAATTTTCTATGCTAAAAATACATACTAAGGTGAAGATCTGCTAATATGGAAAAAAGTGAGATCTTGCTCTGTGCATTCTGTGATTTTAATAAGCGTTCTCTATGACACAAATGCTCTGCAAATCCCTGGTTAATATATAACAGGATGTTTCTAGAAATGGAAGCTCAAACTGCTTTAGTCCATTCCAGGACAGATTTATTTATCTATATAAAAGCCAAACCTTGTTTTATATCTTTTTTTATACTGTACAAATATGTAGTCACTGCAATCCATAATTTAAGGGATTATAGAAAGGGAAACAGATCTGCAGCTAGAGACAAGGAATGCTTCATCCAGTCTGGAGGATGACTGGCAGGAGTACAAGGACAATTTTGCCATCAGTCACCCGGGAGCCCGCAGGCCCTTCCCGACTTTATTGCAGCCCTGGGAGATAAATGAGCCTTTACGAGGCATTGTAGTCTGCTGTGCTGCCTCCATCCCACTGAAACTGCCACTGTTGTGTAGAGAGAAGGTAGGGAGGAGTTAAATCTTTGACTGTCAGTGTCAGGTTGCTGGCAGGCACCCAACAGCTTCACAAACAATGGTTTCAACACTCCTACCTCTCCTTTCCAACCCCAGTGTTAGTTTGTGTTTCAGTCAGATTTCCTATGGGAATGCTGTTTGCATTCTGGCTTGCCTTTGTAACTCCTTGTGTCCAGATAATAAACATGGCTGTTTAGAGGACATAATTAAAATGTTTGTAAACAAAAAGATATTTTTACAAAAGTGAACTTACTGTAATAAATTCTGTTCTGAGTCATGCTTAGTAGTTTAGTAAACTAAACAGAAGACAAAGCACTTGCTTATAATTTGCTGGTACTTCTTTCAGAAAACAAGTTGTTCTATGTTGGAAAAGACAGAAAACAAATGCGCCTGGTAATTGTTTCAGATGAAGAGAAGAAAAAGGTCCTCGAGAAATGCCACAAAAATGCTGCTGGCACTCATCATGGTATATCAAGGACACTGACTTTAGTGGAGTCTAATTACTACTGGACCTCTGTAACAAACGATGTCAAGCATTGGGTATGGCTTCATAGCTACAGGATACTTTATGTAATCTGTTACAAGTGTTTGGTAATCCCATGAACTTTGATACAGCAAGTGCCCAGCCTGTTTCATGAGGAGGAAATGTAAGCTTGCAATCACACTGCAACTGGTCATCTTGGCAATGCATGGTGTTTCTTTTTACTCTTTTATTACTTCTTACTCGTTTACTGGCTTGCACACCACTATGGTGTGCTGGGGAGCCATAATCTCTTTTGGTAGGACATCCAGTCCTGATGAGCAGCCACCGAGAGAGATTTCTTGTGCAAGGACTCCTCTTTTTTTTTTTTTTTTTTTTTTTTTTTTTTTTTTTTTTAATGCAGTGTGCCACACATCCACAAGGATGTGTGACCAGAGTAGCTGCTAGCAGATAAGAATATGAAAATGGTGTCTCTGCTTTACAATAAATTGTGTTCAGGAAATAGTTAAACACATCAAAGCTTGGAAAAGTTCCTTCTCCTCCACCCAAAGATACAGGTGCAGGAACCCCTAGCAGAGTTTTATTCTTCAGGAAACTATGTAAATGTCCTTCAAGGCCAAATTACTGTTGCTATGCGCTTGCTGCATCATGTGAATATTTTGGGTTCATATGCAACTCTTACATGAAGTGAAAATGGGTTTTTCCTTTCAATTTGGATTGGACAAAGGTGCTCTGTCCCATAGGTTAAGTTGTTGTGCATGGAAGATAATGTACACTTCCAGTGTTTTTCAGCCACAGCATACATAGATGAGCCAAAAGGAGAATGATTAGGACTTCCTTTCACTCCCAGTTGCTTCCTACTTCCTTTATTATTTACAGATAGTAATGGATTTTAAAATTTGTACTGTGGACTTGAAAGAGCACAGTACTTTGAGAATGGAGAGAATTCAGCTATGAGTTCTTTTACATGTCCCTCTCCTGGCCTTCAGTACCATTTGGTTTTATTTTGGTTTTATGCTGCTTCTGAAAAATCCAAGTGTAAAAAATTGCAAGAAAAGTGATAAATTTGTTTTGCATTGCCTGGTCTGACCTGATTTACAGAGAAATAGTGGAGATCTGTGATTCTGATGGTTGTCCTCACCTCACCATCACTTTTCATTGATAACACCTTCCCTGATGTCTTCTCTAGGTGCATGCTTGCCAGCATTGCCAGATGGCAAAGAACATAGCCACCAGAGTGCCCAAAATACACCCTATCAAAGCAGAGGACCCATGGACAGCAGTCACTATAGAGCTAATGGGACCTTTCAATGTTACAAATAGAAGTCACAAATACGTCATTATTATGACAGATTTGTTTACAAGATGGACTGTTATCTTACCACTGCATGACACTTCAGCAGCTGAAATTGCTAAGGCAATCATAAATGTGTTTTTCCTATATGGGCCACCTCAAAAGATGCCTATTGATCAGGGGAAGGAGCTTGTTTATCAGGTAATTATTTACATGGCTGGTTAATAACTCTTTTCTTCTTGTTTTTTCCCTTCAAGAAAAATACATTTTCCCTTATATTAGATTTGAATTTTAAGCTATTTTTGAGAAAGACTTTAGTACTTTTTTCATTAATTGAAAAAGTAAAGATGTTTGCGCAATACAAAAAATGTCAAACCAATTATTTGCAATTGTAATGCTATGCAATGCTTCCCAGGACTTTATTCTTTGTAAAAAGAGCAAAGTACAATTATTTCCTGGCAGTCATAGTGCAGGTTTTGTCACTCACTTGGATTGGCATAAATTTGCACACTGCATTTTGATGTATGTCATTCATCCATGTTGCCCAGTATAGCAATAGCTAAGGATATTTTTGATGTTGGCTTATATTGATTATGAAGGACTTACCACACTGTTCCTCTAAGAGAAGATGAAATCATCAGATTGTGACATGGAGGTAATGACAGATTGAGTTAAGTGACAAAAATGTGGTTAGAAACCATCAATCACTGGCTTCTAAGCCCTACTTAATGCTGTAGCTCTCATTCACAGTCCTGGTGTGTTCTGTGCCAATATGTATGTAAGATTTTTCCCAGTCACCATCATGTCAGCCAAAAGCGTGGAAATCTGAGGTTTTTTACTTGCAATTGGATGCAAAACAGGAGAAATGTTCACTAATTGTGTTTTTCTTCTTTTGAAGATAAACAAAGAACTGTTTGCACTGTTTGGAATGAAGCAAATTGTATTGGCTTATCCTCAGACACATGGTATAAACGAAAGAATGTCCAAGACAATAAAAACTTTCCTTAACAAGTATTGCATGGACCATCCAAATGATTGGGACGCGAACCTCACGAGGTCTCATGATTACATTGCCTATATTGACCATTTATGTTATAGCCTATGCTTTCAATTTGACAAATTTGGTATGTGAAGATTCTTCTTCTTTTGACTGAAGTCCTCCAAAATGTCAGCAAAACTGTATGCTAAATTTGCTTGCTTTTGGTCCCCATATAAATAGGAGCCAGATCAAAACACCCCATATTTCCAAATGTTCAACCGTAACCCACGTGTTGTTGAGCCCATGAATATATGTGTGGAAGGAGAATACAATAGTTTTGCCAAAATATTTGAAGCAACTAAAAAACTCAGTCAAGTACTGGAAGAAGACAACACCTCAGGTTGCCAGGTAAATATTATGTGTTTGAACTTTACTAGTAAGAAGACTGAATATAAGGATGAAAAGGTCTGAGGCATAAAGTATAACTAACTTTTTAAAATAATGTGGGGGTTTGAGTGGTGGTTTTCAGTTTGTTTTCCTTCTCCTGTGATCCCTTAATTTCAGTGTAACATATGTGTATTTGGAGGGAGTGACCTTAAAAGAGACTTAGTGTCAGAAGTTTGTTATGTCTGACTTAGAGGGCAGAATAGAGAAGTTGAAAACGATTGCCTATGGAGTAGTGAATTATGAAGATAAAAGCAATTTCTTCATCATTTGTCAGTCCCACATAATTACAAACTACACACATCTAAAACCACTCAATGTCATGCTTAAGCACTGTTAACCAATGCTACAGAACTGCATAATTACTTTTAGAAAAAAAAAAAGTAAATCACATTTTTCTTTCTGTAGGCAGATAAAAAAACTTCAGATGAACAAAATATCAGAACCAAAATCACAGTCAAAAGGAAGTCAAAACAATTAAATACCCTTCAACTTAAAGTTGGTCATGAAGTCCTCAGGCAAAGAAAAAACTGGTGGAAAGATGGTCGTTTCCAGTCGGAATGGATTGGTCCTTGTATCATAGATTACATCACGGAAAATGGCTGTGCAATATTAAGAGATTCCACAGGATCCAGGCTGAAAAGACCCATCAAGATGTCTCACCTCAAGCCATATATAAGAGGAACCAGTGAAAAAGGTGTATATAATTGGTTTTAAGTTTGTATTTTTATATATGTAAAAAGAGCTGGGACTTTTTTTTGTTTTTTTAACTTCTCTGTTGTGGTGTTAGGTTATTAGAATGAAAACCAGTGGGAGTTATATTAGCCACTAATTAGACACACACTAATGTAATAGCTGAATAGCTAAGTAAGGAGAATAGTGAGTGTGAGTGACGTCAAACTATGCAAAGCATGGAACAGAGCTCATGAATAATGATCAAAGTCTTTAGAAATAACCTCTATTAAAGTTACTTCTAATCACTGGGTTGGATCTATTTGTGCTGGCTGATAGAAGTATAAGAACATGCTAAATATAAGCAGGCTGACTGGTATTCAAGGAGCGTTTCCTGACTATTTTGGTGTAGGCAGAATTCACATTAATTTTGCTTATGCAATGGAAACTTTTTTTTTTACAACATTGGAGTGTCTTCTGAAGCCTTAAAATAGAAAGACTACATCAGGGAATTGATTTTGGAATAGTTTATTTTAATTGTCCTATTAAAGAAGTCAGCATTTCTCTTACCAAAGTAAGTAGAATTGTCATACTCTGTGGTAGGATGGTTAGAAATTTCCAAAGATTTGGATTACCAGCTTCTGCTCTTTGTCTTACATATTCAGCATGCCCTTTTGTAAACCAAACAGTGGCAGCTGTTTCTTTTCTGCTCATGCTGTCTTTGAGTCACCAGAGGCATTTGAAAAAAATTAAATACTTAGTATATGGAAGACTTCTCTCACAGAACAAGCTGCTTTTTACTTCAGAATTCTTGAAGAGCAGAACAATTTCCACATTATTGGCACATGTGATCAAACTTTGGTTCATGTAAATAGATAAACTATGTTGAGATGGTAATTTCATCCATCACCTCTTCAAGCTGAGAGATTTGAAAAGCTGAAACTAAATATGGAATTTCATGTAACAAGTTGAAATATTTATGTCAGTCATCAGTTATGGATTTTGTAACTAAGATACTGATGTCATGTCATGTTAGGAGGCCTCTACGTTTTTTTGGACAATCACTCTGTGCCTCCTGATTCCATGTGTCAAGCATGTAGATAATGAACAGCTATTACAATAACTTTTGGTAAATTGTGTCACTGTATAAAAATGTGAAAATAGCGGTCTTTGTAGTATTAGAGCCTAATACGTTTACCGCTGAATACTGCAGAAGCAGTGCATAAATGTAGAATTCCCTTTTTCAGGAAGTGGCTGTCTTGGTCTTTGGTTGTTTGTTTTGTTTTTTTTTTTCCACTTGCCTACTTTACTTACTTTTTAAACATTTATGGTTTGAGGAAAACCTGTTGTGTGTTAAACTAAGATTTCCCAGTGAGAGCATGAAGAAACCACATTGATCCATGTGCACGCACAAAATGAAAGAATCTACATATCAATTGTTTCAAGCTAGTAGCTGTATTGAAGCATTTGTTCAGTAAGTGGCTGAGATAGACATCAAGCTAATCACTGACCTAGGAAAGAAAAGCTCTAAATGTGGATCATCTCAGGGGTTATTTTGTGGATGTAACAAACATTTGATATTTGATGCCAGATACTTGATCCTCAGTGAAACTGGGAAATTCACATAATCAGTTTGCTGTCACTCAAATGTTCTTGTCCTCTTTTGGAAATTGTTTTGAAAAGTAAGTTAGCACCTCAGTAACATTTCAAGTATGGCTTCAGAGATCTGACCTAATGGCTACTTTCCTTTTGCAGGCAACCATTACATTCTACAAGGTGCAGTAGTTTTTGACCATGACTATATTGGCTTATCTGAAACATCTAATAATTCAAGTCAAGGGGACTCTGTTGCTGAAAAAGAAATAAATGCCTACGAAAGAGATATCATATCTGCTGTACAGATTTCACCTGCATTCTGCAAAGACCAAGAATCAGCAGAATGCAAACATGAGTCTGAGCTGAGAGAAGATCATTGCATTGAACCAAACACTGAAGAGCCACAGCAATGGCCTTCACCTTGTTGGAACCTTCAGACAAAGACAGAGGGTACTTAAGCATAGTCTTCTATCACATTTCCTTGCCAAACAGTTTGAAACTACTGGGGCAAACTGAAAAAAAAATGTAATAGCTCCAACTTCCTTAGCCCAATCCACTTTACTCCTTTATGAATCTAAGAGTGTTTCAAGTATCCAATTTGTCTGGGTGTTAAGAAAAAGCACTAGTACATATTCTGATCATGCGTTTAAATTCCAGATTTTGTTGGTAGAATGGCAATGTGGCCATGCCTTATTGTTATCCTCTCAGGACACAATGCATCTTTTTACTGTAAGGACCTTTTCCATTTAACCCTTGGATGACTCATTCCTAATGTGCACTGTGAGATGAAAAACCTAAGCAAGTTGGTGTAAATTTTCCCTCCACTACAGAGAAGCTCATGTCTTCCTTTTTCTATTATATAACAGTTTTCTATTCATTCTGGGAAGCTGCAGCATCTGTCTTGTACAACTTTTAATTTCTAATCTAATCCATTTAAGATCTCACAAAACAATAAAACTGCCAAAATCAAAGTACATGTAGTGTTCTATGCATGAAACAATGAGGGCTTCAGCTGTTCCCTGCTCATCAAAAATCTACTAGTGTAGGCACTTTTAATATCTCAAGCATGTGAAAAAAAATCTTAAGAGCATTTAATATTAATATGTGCTTTTTCACAAACATCTGGTTTCTCCATTACAGTTACCTCTTCACTGAGGCTGTGCATGTTGGGAGATTTTCCATGGACAGTGAGCTATGAGAGGTGAAGCAGTGGTATTAGCTTATTATCTGATTTCCTTGAGTAAGTGTTACTGGTCTGGACTTCCTGCTCAGAAGACTGTTTCTCAAAGTCAGCAGCACAGGAATTTTTTGACATGGAAAACTGATGCATCAAAGTCCGTTTTTGTTGTTGTTTTGGTTTTGTTGATTTGGGTTTTTTTTTGTGGTTTTTTTGTGTTTATTTTTTGTTTTGGTTTGTTGTTTTTTTTTGGTTTTTTTTTTTTTTTTTTCTTTGTAGGGGATTGACTTGAAAAAAAACTAGCAGAAAACTGAATTGAGGAATTCAGCAACTTATGGATGATGCTGTGGAAGATTTGCTTATCTTGCTCTCTGAATTTGTGTTTTCCCTCTAATTTCTGCTTCTGAATGTCATGTGACTTCTAACACAGGTGGATGAAAGTACTATTTATTAGGAGTTTTCAGTTAATTTTAGGTAATTATATGTGGCTGATTAGTTACCTACCTCCTACAGATACTTACATGTACGTAACAGTAATGTTCTTTAAAATATCATGGGATGTATCTGTGAGACAAGAGCTCAGCACCATGACAGAGTCCTGTCTTAAACTTCAAATGAAAAATAATTAATACTCAAATCATTTTGTGTCTTCCGAAAATACAGTCCTACAGATACAGTTTTTCTCCACCAAGACTTCAGAGTCTGAGTACATTGCTGTTTATCTTGGTAAAAAAACTATGTAGAAATTTTGAATGAAAACCAGCACACCAAAAGCTTTAATTTGAAGAGGAAGGCTCTTCCAGATAGACATAACTAGACAGTAAACTGAATTTTAAAGCATTTGATTCTAGAGCAGTTAATCCTGAGAATCACATTCCCTGGTCAGTTCTCCTTTCAACTTGTGTGTAGATGAAGGGATCTGCAGCAACCTTGCTGCACTGGTAGCAGAAGTAGGTGTGCCAGTAAACAATAACTGTTGTAAGAAATACAGCATGTCCTCAGTGCCAGGCAGTGCTGCCCTCTTACAGACTCCTAGTGAAATGATGAGCAGATCACTTGGATACAACTTTCTATAAATCTGTATTACCACATACTACTCATTACTCACATGGGTGAGCCCTTTCTTGGGTGCTTGAGAAGCATCTCAATACTCATCAGTAGAATTGGAGAATTCAGAGCTGCAGCTGGTGGCAAGAATTGATGCCTTGAATATGTAAAGTGATATCCGAGTAAGTGGGCTAAAAGGGGATAAATCAGATTTCACAAATTCAGTACCTAAATTAGTTGATTATTCTTCGCAATTGATGCCTTTAATTTCCTTATGCCTCACTTCCCCCTTCTGTACAGAGTAACACCATATCAGATTTCTGACAAACTGCAAAAAATACTCATTACACTTCACAAAGCTGGCAGACATAGTGATAAAAGCACCAGTAGAAAAGCCCTTAAGAAAATGAGTTGTGGTTTGTGCAGCATTTCAGTGATATGCAGTATATAATACCTGTGCTTCCCTATGATTCTGAATCTTTTCCTAGTCAGAAGCATGATGCACCACTCCCATAGAATAAAGACCAAGAAGAAGGAAAGCAGAGCGCATAGTTACAGTGTCATACCGGCAAACAATTTTTCAGAGTCTTAGCTGTCGTGTGTTCGTCTCCAGAGACACTCAGGATTTGTGCTGGAGCGTCGGACGCACAGTGGCAGCCTGGATCCGCGGGGAGCTGCTGCTGCCCTGCCCTTCCGAGGACTTCTTTCCAAAACGATGTTCGCAGCAGAATTTTTGGTAATTTTCACATGGAATTGTCGGTAATCACAGGAGCATGAATACATTTCTGAGAGCAACATGACCCGCATTGTGTGAGGGCTGCATGACTGACCTGTCATGTGAGCCAGAATACAAAAATACCCTACTTGTGCTTTAGGTGGTTTTATACCACAGCTACCAACTGTGGTAAATTTTACCTTCCAATCACCCTTCAGTACTCGTTATGCCTTGGTTGCTGTGAGCAGGATCTCCCAGGCAAGTGCCTGGAATAATGCCATGCCTCCGCTTCTTTATGTGAGGCACAGTGTGTGTGACCCAAGAGCTGACCTGAGGAAACATGGCAGAATTGTGGAATTCAGTCTTTTCCTGAAAGTAATTTTCTCTTGTGCAGCTGTTTTAGGACATGTCATGGTTGAAGGAAGCAGTAACAGAGGGGAGAGGGTACTCGGAGCACTAAACATTGCTGTGGCCAGGGCAGGGTTCCACCCTGAAACCCTAAGTAACTCCTTTAGCCTCTTTGGCAGCTGCCTAATCTCCATTCTGAAAAAAATCTTCAATTCTAATTAAAAAAGAGTAGAAAATTTAGGTTTCTCACATGTCTCAGAAGATTAAGTATAGTCTGTAATTAATAATTTCCCTAGTTTGCTGAACTGTTACCACGGACTATTTTCTAGGAATAAAATTACTGCATCGTAAACGAATACTTTGTCACAGTGCCTACAAGAATACTGCCCATCATCTGTGTATTTTCTAAAAGCTATGCAGTGAAATCAGTCACAGGATGTCATGCTTCACATGCAACTCATTAATAAGAAATACGTGTGGAATGGAGATAAAGAAACAGTAAAATAAAGTGCCTTCATGACCTGTAATATTTAGAAAAAAATCTAGCGCAGCTTCCAGATTGACTACCATGCAGTATCTCCAAAACATGTGTCTAACAACGCCAGCTGAATTTTCTTTTAGGTTTCTTAGCCACCATGTCCAGAAACAACAAGAAGTTTGCAGGTTTTGCTTTGATAAGTAACTATCACTGCAGATTTTAAATTCTCCTCTACACTGTCAGCTCCCCTCTTTTCTTCTGCCAGTAACACTTAGCTATACAGACAAATCTATTTTTTTTTCCCCATTACTGGAAAAGAGCCTAAAGAGCAGTTACAGTGTAAATTTTACTAACAAATTTTGATAATTCACATAAAAAATACATTCACATTTAAGAAGTAAAAAATACCAACAGGTAAAGGCAAATCAGAGTGCTAAACCTGTAGGGTTCACTAGCATCTGTTTTACATAGAAAATACAGTGGCTTAATTTCAGCTCTTATTTTTTTTTAGTTTACTTGAATATTTGGATCTGTCTTTGCATTTTTGTATTGAACAATACAGGAATCCACACAAACTGTGAACGATATAATGACAAAGTATTTAAAATTTTAAAGTATGTCCTAAAGTGCAATTAAGTAATTAAAATTGCTCTTGAATTGCTCGTGAATTGATCTTGAATTGATCTTGAATGATCCCGCAAATTCTACTGCTAATATATACTAAATCTTTCAAACAAGTTTTCACATGTGTATTTGAATGGCAACCTAAAAATCACCAAGCCCCTTCTCTGTAGCATAACACATGCTTAATCCTAATCCATTGTAGCGTGACAGCCATCACTGACCTAAAGACTCTGATAAAACTTAAATAAATCTAGTTTTGGCAAGGAAGAAGCTTTTGCAATTCACCACAATGATCTATAAATCCTCATTAACTCTACAGTACACTGGTTGATTAGAAATCTACTTAATCAAGATGCTTCCCAATGAATCAATTTACACCTAATACTTGGTGGCAAGGACAGCTGCTTAATTAGGATTGTAATTTCAGTTAATTGGGACACCTTCAGGTGACATCGGTGGCAACCTGTGTGTTACAGGTCAGTGCATCTGGCACCTTGCAGTGGCCACAGTCTGCCCTCATCGCAGGTTCACAAAAAGGTACCAAAAATTACCCAAAGCCACTTGCCAGTGGATCACAACCACCTTCCCATCCATCTAACCCTGTAAGACCTCCCATGAGTCAAACTATTTAAAACAGGGAGATGTTTAATACAGTACAGAAAGGTGCTTAGCTACTTGGTCAGCCTAATTTTAATGAAAATTTTCAGCCCCTACAATAGCCAAGATTCTTCCTTCTTAAAAAGGCTTAAGGAAAGATTAATCAACAACACATGGAAGGTAGAACCACATCTTTTAAAACATAAAATGTGCAATTACATGTTGTTCATTAAAGCATAGTCTTACCTGGAACAACTGCTGAAAATTAATTTAAACATGCTCTCTAAAATTTAGACTGAATAACTGGAATTCAACATTTAATACAATAAATAATATTAGCACACAAAAACCTGTTAGCATGGAGGATGGTCTGCTGGCTTATTAAAATGAGCCAGCTGTGATTGCTGAACTATGATTCAGAAAGTTGGTATCTTCCTTTTTGCATTAATTTTTCTATTGCAGTATGGAGTCTCTGGTACATTGTTTTCATAAGATGCAGCTCTAATAAGAGACTAAGAACATTCAGTGCCTTCAAGTAGGTTCAGATGTTCTAATTTTGCCATTACACCTGTGCAGAATTAAGAGCACAAAACCTGATGTGCTGAATGTTGATTGCTGCTGGAAAGTAGCTGGGTGGCCTGTCCATGCAGTTATTAAAAATGACAGAATGGCTTGGGTTGAAAGTGACCTTAAAGATCACTTAATCCAACCCCTCTGCCATGGGCATGGACACTACCCGCTGACCAGGTTGCTCAGAGCCCCATACAACCTGGCCTTGAACACTTCCAGGGATGAGGCATCTACAGCTTCTCTGGGCAGCCTGTGCCAGTGCCTTACCATGCTCAGAATAAAGAATTTCTCTCTAATATCCAACCTAAGTCTCCCTGTTTTAGTTTAAAACCATTGCCCCCTTGTCCTATCACTATAGTCCTTGGTAAAAAGGTTCTGTCTTTCTTATAAACCCACTTTAAACACTCAAAGGCCA